TTCAGTTGTGTGTTTGTAAACTAAAGTCTTTGAAAATGTAATAAGTTTTACGAAACGCTCTTAAGTGTCGCGTCAGACTAGAAATAAAAATGAATTTTGGAGAATGATCTTTGAATTACCATCAACAGTGAAAAGAAACGTAAGAAAGATCGAGAAAATTCGTGTTAAGAATTATTAATCTTTCTTTTTCGGTCATATTAATAATATATATATATATATATATATATATATATATATATATATATATATATATATATATATATATATAGGGGTACCACCACTGATTTAATTAAAGGGACCCACATCCTCGAAGAAGAAAATAAATAGTGTTCAGAGAAGACCTTGTGGATTCTCACTGAATACTTTAATCTTTTCCTCTCCTACCACCCCTATTATTTTATATATATATATATATATATATATATATATATATATATATATATATATATATATATATATATATATGTATATATATATATATTTAATAAATGGAAGGGGGCTAAGGGATCACCTTGTTGGACTCCTTCACAGGAGTCTATGTCATGCTCCCAAAAAGAAGCTTAGAGTCCCCACTGTAGCACGATCGGATGAATGGGTAAAGGGGACGGAAATGGTTGTGTACAGCCCTGAGGACAGCGTCTCTTCTGACTTGATTGAAGGCATTTTTTAAGTCAAGTTTTATTAGTGCCTTCTGGTCCGGGAGATCAGCAAAGTAAGCCCGAGCTGCATGTGCTGCAGCTTCACAGCCTAGGGGGATCCCAAACCCGAGCTGATGAGGTTTCAGCAAGGTGGCTGCTTCCTGGCTGATAGATCTCACTGCAGCCTTAGCTACGAGGCATCAGAGGGTGTTGCCAACAGCAATGGGCCTGATACCCCTATCCTTCTTCTTTAGAGCACAGAGTGCTGCTCCATAAAAGAGAGGCCTGATGTCCTCAGGGATGCCGCCAGCCAAACACATGTTGGAGAATCTGGTAAGTTCCACTAGAAGGTCCTTAGCGGCATCTCCAAGCACCGGGTTCAGCATTTGTTTGATGTGCTGGGGTCTTAGGCCTGTAAAGCCCCCTGCTGAACCTGTTGGGAAAGACATGGCTGCTTTGTACACCTCAGATTCTCGAACAGTCAAGGGTTCTATGCCAGCATTGTTTTCCTGGGGATCCCTGCTGCTGTCGGGGGCTCTGGGTGGGTGTTTGTCTTGAAATGAACCCGTGCTGTCGTGGCGTTCCTGGGGGCAATAGTGTCATTGCTGGTCATGATTCTGATGGCGCCTGTGGTATTGCCCTCCTCTATTTTCCTGGTGATCTGTGCTCTCATGTTGTGGTTCTCAGATGAGTTATTGTTGGTCGTCCTGCGGCTGGTGTTCTTGGCACGAGGGGGGAGGCGGACCAGGTTGTCTGCTCTGGGGAGTTCATTAAGTGCCCTGATTACAGAGGTTGCTAATGACTTGTCTCTCCTGGGCGGTAATGCTAGGCTTGCATTCCCAAATAGAAGGAGATTGTGCCATGCTCCGGTGGTTCTAGGAGCATTGTTGACCTTCGTCAGCAGACTGATGAGTTTGGCTGCTGCTTGGTGAAGGGCAGCCTTGGGTATGTGGGGCAAGGTCCTGGTGGACGTCGCTATGACTGCTTCAAGCAGATTGTCAGCTGAAATAAAGCTGGAGGGAGGTATTGTTCCTCCCTCTATATATATATATATATATATATATATATATATATATATATATATATATATATATATATGCATACACAATAAAATCACATTAATGTGTTGCATCAATGAGAAAATGAGTAGCACCCATGAGGAGAGTTCAAACTGCCTCACTTGGTACCACCAGGTATAAGGGGAGACACAGGTAGGAACACATATCAGTGGACAAGGAGGAGAAAGAGAAGGAGAAGCAACACATGCTCCAGATCACCTTCCGCTGGAGGGCCTCGTTTGGTGAGTGACTGCCTATTGGTCGGCTGGTGGACAGGTGGGCGGAGCCAACAGGTCTGCTGTCAAGGTCAGTCAGGGGGGGGGGGGGTTAGGGGGGGTAAGGGGGGGTGGTTACTGGTTAAGGGGGAGAGGGGGGGGAACTGTCTGTTAGGGGTGCCGGTGGTACATTCCTGCGTTCGTTCTCGATTCACCATCTGGAATCCTGAATGGTGACAGAAATGGTTGGATATATATACGTTTCCTATCATCTGGTGCCTCTGTTCACCTAGCAGTAAATAGGTACTCGGGTGTTATGATCAAGTATTGTCGAGTTGCATCCTTGGGGGAGAGTCAGTGATTCAATCTTGGCGGGGGGGGGGGGGGGAGGGGAGGAGGGAACTAGATAAAAGCCTAACATATATACATAGGCTGCCTGTCCCCGACAAAATGAATGATTGATTATAGGCAGAACACCGGGACTCAAGACACACAACACTGCACAAGCTACAAGATAAAGACACAGACGGAACATGAATCAAAATTCCCGCAAATGAACAGAAAAAAACCAATGCAAAAGCCTGAGGCCAACTGAGAAGACGCCTTAACCTTGGCGGGAACAGGCTTACACCAGGCTGTCTGTCTGTCTGTCTGTCTGTCTGTCTGTCTGTCTGTCTGTCTGTCTGTCTGTCTGTCTGTCTGTCTGTCGTCCAAGCCTGTCTCTCAAACCTCCCAGCACCTCTACACACCTTAAACACACACACACACACACATACAAGATACGACTACAAGATATAAAGACGACTACAGGATACACAGACGACTACAGGATACACAGACGACTACAGGATACACAGACGACTACAGGATACACAGACGACTACAGGATACACAGACGACTACAGGATACACAGACGACTACAGGATACAGAGACGACTACAGGATACAGAGACGACTACAGGATACACAGACGACTACAGGATACACAGACGACTACAGGATACACAGACGACTACAGGATACACAGACGACTACAGGATACAGAGACGACTACAGGATACACAGACGACTACAGGATACACAGACGACTACAGGATACACAGACGACTACAGGATACACAGACGACTACAGGATACACAGACGACTACAGGATACAGAGACGACTACAGGATACACAGACGACTACAGGATACACAGACGACTACAGGATACACAGACGACTACAGGATACAGAGACGACTACAAAATAAAACACCCACAGCCGCTGGTGGTCCAATTGATTGCATCTACTGGATGGAAGCCAAGCTCCGCAGTACAAAATTCCGAGATGAAATGCAGACGTAATTCCAAGACGTAAATAGAACATGAAAACATGTACACAAGCATCCGAGTGTGAATATGTAAATGCTACACAGACATCTACATACATCATTGTATGTTGAAACACGGGGAGAACCTTGGAAACACCCACGCCTCCCCGACAAAGAGATCAAGCTTAGCTTAGCTACCACACACACACACACACACACACACACACACACACACACACACACACAATTGGGTGAGTATACACTGCAGGAATGGTCGAACAAATGGTAGTTAGAGATTAACCCAAGCAAATGCAATGTAATGAAGATAGGTGTAGGGAGCAGGAGACCAGATACAGGGTATCATTTGGGAGATGAAATTCTTCAAGAGTCAGACAGAGAAAAACACCTGGGGGTTGATATCACGCCAGACCTGTCCCCTGAAGCTCATATCAGGAGGATAACATCAGCGGGGGGGGGGGGACATACGTACTTAGTAACAAGGGGCACACGCACTAGGGGGACACAGGTGGAAACTGAGTGCCCAAATGAGCCACAGATATAAGAAAGAACTTTTTTAGTGTCAGAGTGGTTGGCCAATGGAATGCATTAAGAAGTAATGTGGTGGAGGTTGACTCCATACACAGTTTCAAGTGTAGATATGATAGAGCCCAATAGGTTCAGGAACCTGTACACCAGTTGATTGACAGTTGAGGCGGGACCAAAGAGCCAGAGCTCAACCCCCGCAAGTACAATTAGGTGAGTACAAATACACACACACACACACACACACATATGGGGGCCTAACGGCTGAGTGGACAGCGCTCGGGATTCGTAATCCTAGGATTCGAGGATCGATCCCTGGCGAAGGCAGAAACAAATCGGGCAGAGTTTCTTTCACCCTGATTCCCTTGTTCACCTAGAGGTAAATAGGTACCTGGGAGTTAGACAGCTGCTACGAGCTGCTTCCTATGTGTGTGTGTGTGTTAGAGAGAAATACATGTAGTAGATTTAATAAAGGAAAAATAGATTGGTTAGAAAGGTGGGGGCCAAGAGCTAATATTTCGATTCAGCAGACACAAATAGTAAATACTTCGTGTCAGCAAGGCGAACAGTCCGCCTGCTATGATAACTCATTGTAGTTCCCATCGACCAACCACTTGGGCTGGACGGTAGACCGACGGTCTCGCTTCATGCAGGTCGGCGTTCAATCCCGACCGTCCAAAATGGTTGGACACCGTTCCTTCCCCCCCCCTCCCCTTCCCAATCCTTATCCTGACTCCTTCCCAGTCCTATATAATCGAAATGGCTTGGCACTTTCTCCTGACAGTTCTTGTCCTTTCCTTATATTTCCAATGTCTAAACTTATCCCTTCATTTGTATCTCTCCATCTTCTTTAATAAAAAAAATAGACTTTAAAAGGCTTCATATCTCGCTCCTACATGCTGGCGTAGTGGTAGCCCCACTCACCTCACCAGCTATTTCATCTGGGTTCGAGCCCTGGCTAAGGAATATCGACTGGGCGCCGAGCTTTAACTCTCCGAGCCCCTGTTCACCCAGCAGTAATTGCGTACTTGGGTTGTAAACCGACTGGCGGGTGGTGTTCCAGGGGAAGGGACAGATAGACGCCTGCTGGTGATAGTGTCATGGTGATAGTGAAGGCTGAGCCGCCTTGCACACGAACACATAATAAACACTGCTGATTACAATGACAATCTCGATTGTGATGAGTATGATATGACAAGAGATGATAGTGACAGAACTAACCTTGGTACTGCAGGATGCGTGGCGAGGTGATGGTGATGATGGTAGTGATGGTGATGGTGGCGGCTGCCCAACCTGTACAGCACGGCCACGGTGAGTATATTATACATTTAATCATTCGCTTTACTCATTAATAAGTGTTCATTTAGAGTGGCTGTGTTTACAAAAGTATATTATTCACTGGTATGAGAAGAGAATAATGCAGAGAGCCTTACACTATATATCTGTCACTGTGGCTCCTATATCAGCTGTCACTGTGGCTCCTATATCAACTGTCACTGTGGCTCCTATATCAGCTGTCACTGTGGCTCCTATATCAGCTGTCACTGTGGCTCCTATATCAGCTGTCACTGTGGCTCCTATATCAGCTGTCACTGTGGCTCCTATATCAGCTGTCACTGTGGCTCCTATATCAGCTGTCACTGTGGCTCCTATATCAGCTGTCACTGTGGCTCCTATATCAGCTGTCACTGTGGCTCCTATATCAGCTGTCACTGTGGCTCCTATATCAGCTGTCACTGTGGCTCCTATATCAGCTGTCACTGTGGCTCCTATATCAGCTGTCACTGTGGCTCCTATATCAGCTGTCACTGTGGCTCCTATATCAGCTGTCACTGTGGCTCCTATATCAGCTGTCACTGTGGCTCCTATATCAGCTGTCACTGTACCTTATATTCCTGGCATATACCGGCGATACCTGTCGCTATACCTTAAATATCTGTCAGTATACTTTCAATACGTTGACCAGACCACACACTAGAAATTGAAGGGACGACGACGTTTCGGTCCGTCCTGGACCATTCTCAAGTCGATGCCATTCACAATCGACTTGAGAATGGTCCAGGACGGACCGAAACGTCGTCGTCCCTTCAATTTCTAGTGTGTGGTCTGGTCAACATACTTCAGCCACGTTATTGTGACTCATCGCCTACTTTCAATACCTGTCATTATACTTTCAATACCTGTCATTATACTTTCAATACCTGTCATTATATACCTTAAATACCTGTCATGATACCTACAATGACTGTCACTATATTGCTTGAATACCTGTCACTATATTTCCAATACCTACCACTACACAGCCAACACCTACCACCACACCATCAATACCTGCCACCACACCACCACCATCTACCACCACCCACCACCACACCTCCAGACAAAGAATAATACAAGGTGGTCGTGGAAGCCTAGGAAAAGCAAGCACACCTTCGAACACTGAACATCATTGTTTGTACTAAAAAAAAACTTTTCTCCAATGAATAAAAATCAGGTGTAGCACATGTTGTACACATGTGTCAGTGTAACAAGTTTCTTAACTAGTAGTCATTATAATTATAAGATGTGATGATTAAGACAAATTGTAAATTAAGAAATACCGGCTGAGGTCTGTTTAAATCCTTTTGGTCCCTTTGTAAGCCTATAATTTGCACTTTTAATATATAATGTTATTTTCACTTAGGATTTTACTTTGTAATTTCTATGGAATTCTTCTTGGCTTACGAGCAAAATTACCAGGCACACTGCTGTAAAATTCTGGTTTGTTCTGAAGATGGTGCAATAATTCTGTATCTTTGACAAATACATACGTTATGTATGCCATACATTTCATCATTAGAGAAGAGAAGACATTACACTCTACATCACAGTACATCAGTACAGTAACCTACACTATTACAAGCATTACTGTATTCTACTGTATTCAGCAGGTGGGTAATACATGGAGATACAGGTGTCCAGCCTCACATCACCTCTATACGTCTACTGTATTTCTTGACTGTTGATCACATGACAGAAGCCTCACAGTCAAAGCAAAATCTGACAGATCCGAAAAGCCGTTTATACCGCTGTTAATTGATTATTTTATTCGGAAATGTTAATGTTATCTTTCAAGTAGTAAGACGATGAGTCTAATAGTCCACGAAACTGTGAAACAGAAAAAGGTTAGATAATTATTATTGAGAGATATGGACTTATGCTTGAGTTTAATTATGGGGGAGGGTAGAGAGGTGGGGGGTGCCGGCAGCCAGTGCAGGGAGAGGCAGAGGGGAACGCCTACCACCACACCAACACCTACCACCACACCAACACCTACCAACACACCAACCACCAACACCTACCACCACACCACCATATCTCACTCTCTAAATATCTAACAAAATGATTATCCTCAGTGACAACAACAGATATTACTGAGGGGTGACCTTCCAGCATGAGAATGCTCTCCACAACCTATTAGATCGATCTGAAACCATATTTACAGGCTTTTGGAACAAGTGGAGGAACACAATGTTTTGATCTTACGTCTGGCAGTGGTATATAGCATTTTATTCAGCAAGAGGTTACTACAAGTACAATGCTGCACATTTGAGGCACAGATTTCCACACAGCAAATGTTGCTTGGAAACCTGAGACCAAAAAGTGGCTTTAGGCATTGTATGTACTAGCTCTATCTATAAAGCCAACAAACTTTGTAAATCTCTTTATGTATGTACCTTACCTAAATAAAGATTATTATTATTATTATTATTAAAAAAGTGCAGAATGCTCTATACGAATGAATTAAATATTATGGTAATTAAAAAGATATTTTAATTTGGAAGGGAATAATTTGTATAGGGTAAGTAATTCTTAACTTGCAGCTTAGAAATACATTACACACGACCAATTGGGAGTCAGCTACAATGTTGATTCTTTACTAATTAAACGTTCTGCCTATATTGATTTAACATTAATCTGACGTCTTTTTCACGCTGCTCCAACGTTAACTTTAGGATATTGGAGCATATTGCCCGAAACGCTATGCTTACTAGTAACTTTTTAGGTATTGTATGTACTAAGTCTATCTACAAATCCAACATTATGTTTGTAACTAATCCTCTATGTATGTACTTTTACCTGGAATAACTATTTGATTTTGATTTGATTTGATATTTTGCCGACTAGGCTACAACGTTTTCTATATTAGCGTGAGTTGTTATTGTTTAAGATCCGCCACCTGGAACAAAAACTTCCAAGCAGCACGGGCCATGGCGAGCCCGAAGTGATTGGGCATGGAAACTTTCCACCAGACAGTGAAAGTCTGGCTGAGGCTGCCACTAGAGCAGGTTAACTGGACGCCTCCGCCACTCCCTCAGGGGAGGTCTATTTATGTATTTCTGTATGTAGGTTAGATTAGCATTTTATAAGCACTGCAGTCACCTGCTGTGGTTGATTGTTCAATACATCACTGAACTAAATGTTCAACAGATCTCTAACCCTGTCCATGGAGGACAAGAAAATGTATATATAAGTTGGTTAGCATTGTAATTGTGTGGCCACGTCTGTGGTACAAAATAATAATAAAAATAAATATACAAAAAAATCAAGGCTCTCTCAACCCCCCCCCCCCCCGCCATATCCATCCACGTCTGTTGTCGTGTCTCTAACCAAGGGGGCCTGACGGCTGAGTGGACAGCGCTCGGGATTAGTAGTCCTAAGGTTCCGGTTTCAATCCGCGGCGGAAGCGGAAATAAATGGGCAGAGTTTCTCTCACCCTGATGCGCCTGTTCACCCTAGCAGTAAACAGGTACCTGGGAGTTAGACAGCTGCTACGGGCTGTTTCCTGGGAGGGGTGTGTAACAAAAAGGAGGCCTGGTCGAGGACCGGGCCGCGGGGACGCTAAGCCCCGAAATCATCTCAAGATAACTTCAAGATAGCCATGGCGCCCGGCCCTTTCTACCTGGGTCAAGATTCACCAAGCACTTACGTATCCACTCTTTCGAAACCTTTACATCTTTTCTCAACTGTGGCAGCTTGGTTAACATTTAATAAACAGGTTATAGAGTTCCGAAGCGCTACGAAAATGACTGTGTGACAATAACATTGGGTTGCGAAGTTTCAAGACATGTTAATTGCTAATAGTGATTGGATTGATTCTTGCCACCGGAGGCGGCTAGTTTATTGTGCACCCCATACTCATCCTGTGAGCGGTAGCGCAAAAAGGAATACAGAAAGCACAAAAGGTCTTTAGCAGACCTCAACGAAGATTATTACATTAACAATTACATCTATCCTACACATCTTATAATCAAAATATTAACTACCTACAGAGATTGTTCAATTTCAAAAGCTATGTATTTGCAATTAATCATTATACATTATTGGTAGATTTTTTCGCTAATACATAATTGTTTGAGCAATGAAGACATTACAGTGGTCATAGGAAGGCTGTTATTTATTATTATTAGTTTTCACATTACACTGTTTGTTCCTTAATCTCATGTGTCATTTATATACTGGAAACGAAACATGGATACAGTGCAAGGATTTCAGGTATTTTATCCTTAGTAATAAGATGGGTTGCTATATCATACAGCGTGAGTTTAGATTTATCTCTAACTGGCTCAATTTTACTACAGTCTACGATATAACGCTCTAGTGTGTCCCTGTCTTTGTCCACACACTTTACACTTTACTTCTTCCAGATCCCTATACAAGCCCAACTGCCAGCGATACTTGTAGCCAAGTGTTACCTACAGTCATCCACAGAGACACCTGTAGCCTCATACACATGTTTTGTTTCACATTTCATTGTGATGAATAATGGCTCTGCTAGTTCCAATTTGCACTGTTCAACTTTCTGTAAATTCATCTGAGGGTTGTAGTGCATTGATGGCTGCTTGATCCTGACCCGGGATCAAGCAGGGATCTGGATCCAGCTCCAAGTTGTCCTGAATTGCAACCGGAAGTTCCACTGACCTTACTCGGAACCTGCAGCCTCTCCGAGACACAAACCAGGATTTTACACAATTCCTCCGTGCACCCGAGCTCTGTCAATAAGCTGTTCTACCTCTTCGCCCTTACTTCATTACACATAAACCCCTGGATTGTGTCTCGGAGAGGCTGCAGGTTCCGAGTAAGGTTAGTAGAACTTCTGGTTGCAATTCTTTTACCATGTCGTAGCTCAGTCGATTAAGGCAGCGTCTGGGATCCTCTCGGACGTAGGTTCGAACCCTCGTCACGGCCCTTGTGGATTTGTTCATCGGCTTAGTGTTAGCATTAATCATTGCCTATCAATCTCGTGGAAGGTTAAGGCTACCTGTACCTCCCTTGTGTAGCTTCCAAGGGATCAACGGCCCGGTCTCCGACCAGGTCTGTGGCAATTAATAGCTTCAAGACCAACCAGCAAGTGTACTGTGGTACTGAATATAATGATAAGTATACTGCCAGTGTATAGAGTATATAGAGAGGTGCAATACAATACTCGGTAAGTATATCCCTTCTAAATAAACCTCAATCTCTATACTGCGATTCACAACTTCTGGATCAACTATTTTCTCTCTATTCTGAGACGTTTTTCAAATTTCTCATCAAAAGAATTTGTAAAACTCACAAAGTTCAAAACAAAGAAACTCTGCGAATCAGTGATACAAAAATAGTTTATTTTGAAGTTATTTTCATTAAATTAATTTTATTTTCAGTTTTGTTGATTAACGATTATAAATGTTCATATTTTCAATTAAGTTGAAAAACAGAGTCTAAGCATGAATAATTCTGAAATACTTGTAATAAATATTTAGACGTGTTTTTGTTCCAATAATTATTACAATTATAAGAAGCATTATTTAAATATTCGTTCACATTGTCTCAAATAAAACCTTACTCAAGGTTAACAGTTATGGATTCATTTGCGTATATATATATATATATATATATATATATATATATATATATATATATATATATATATATATATATATATATATATATATATATATATATATTTATATATATTGAAAATTATATCTTTTGCGGATTTAATTTTCGTGTTTCTTCTTTTAATTTAGATGGTGGCGTCTAATATAGATCAATGGTACCTAAGGCAGCTTTCTATCTAATTTAAATAACTATCTACCTTGGTTACCTTGCCTTGAGGTGCTTCCGGGGCTTAGCGTCCCCGCGGCCCGGTCGTCGACCAGGCCTCCTGGTTGCTGGACTGATCAACCAGGCTGTTGGACGCGGCTGCTCGCAGCCTGACATATGAGTCACAGCCTGGTTGATCAGGTATCCTTTGGAGGTTCTTATCCAGTTCTCTCTTGAACGCAAATTTGTACTGAGATCTACAAAATATAGTGAGCGATGGGTTGCAGAAAGTAGGTAAAGCCGGTCCTGGCCTCAGAAGGCAGTACAGACGCCGCGCAGGCATCATCAACACTCTCCAACCTGTTCATTCTCCAGCAATCTTCACAAGACCGTTGTACACAAACTGGATTAAAGTTATTTATAGCAAAGTTGTGTAGCCGCACCGTCAACAGTCCTGCTCCAGTTGGCATCCATGAAGGACGCGGTCTCTGGCGCTCTCTCCCGCTACAGGATGACTAAGATGGCGCTGCTGATGTTTGTGTGTGTGGTGACGGCCGGGGCGTCGGCAGGGGGCTCACGCCAACTACCCTGTCCTGCAGTGAGTGGTCCTAATGATGATGATGGTTCCAGGGCCATTATGGTGCTGGGTGGACGGATGGCACTCATTAAGTGCGGGTTGATGCATCAAGTGACAGTGTGCCTGAACGGAAGGTGGTCGTCGTCATCTCCCTGTTTCAAGAAGATCTCGAACCAAGAGAATGCGGGAAGAAAATTGATAAGGAGACCGAAGCGCTCTCCCAACACAGGGAAGTACGAGGCATTGAGGAAGAGAGTGAAAGTGCAGCGGAAGATCCGCCAAGGGCTCTTGGCAACAACCATTGATCCCAGTACACCGTCTGTAGTGAGAGTTCGCGCGGGAGGCGACGCCTTCCTGCTGTGTCGGGTGCAGAACGTTGGCGCCCACTCCGTCACCTGGTCACGACTCCGCGATAGAAGAGTTATTGCCATCGACACCTCCGTCCTTGTCAGCGACGCGCGATTGTCTCCAAGTTTCGAGGAGCAGACTGGGACGTGGTTTTTGAGAGTGACGCGAGTTCGGAAGTTCGACGAAGGCAACTACGAGTGCCAGGTGAGCACAAGGCCGCCGCTGAAGAAGGTGGTGACGCTGCAGGTGATACCCCGTGGTCAGCCCCTCGACGCTGTGGAGGTCCAAGGTAAACTGTCCATAAAACTCAGCTCAGTCGATTAAGGCAGCGTCTGGGATGCTCTCAGACGTAGGTTCGAATCCTCGACACGTTCCCTTGTGGACTTGTTGATTGATGCATCACGCTATTGTGATTTCTGTGTGTAATAAACTGTCCCTAATTTACAGAAGTATATCAGGAACACCAGCGTCAGCCTGCAGCTGATAACTCTTGTTTAGTATTATACTAAAGAGAAGCTCGCCTTCCAGATTAATTAAATAATAATAATCATTGATTGTGTCCGGGGACAGGCAGCCAGGTGGAATTACTGACCCCGACCAGGATGTAACCCCACAACACGCTGACTAACTCCTGAGTACCTACTGCTAGGTGAACAGATGGAGGCCTTAGGTGATAGGAAATGCGCCCAACTATTTCTGTCCCGCTCGGGATTCCAACCCGGAATTCTCGATTGAGGCGAAAACGAACCCAACTGTACTAATGGGACCCTCAAATTTTATTTATTTATACATGCGTTCTTGAATTCCTGTAAAGCCACTAGCACGCATCGCGTTTCGGCCAGATCCTTAATCCAATTTTTTTTCCAAGGAATACGACCCGCCAAATGGTTTAACAACCAGGTACCCATTCACTGCTGGGTGAACAGAGGCTACAGTTAAGGATTGGCGCCCAGTCAATCCTTTCCGGGCCGGATACATTTTTTTTTAACACATTTAGGTACATCTTCATTTGTGCAGCTACCCTAGACTAAGAAAAATTAGTAAGAAAAAACTAGCTACGTGATGCTGAAAATCCCCATCACACAGGATGGTTAGTCAGACACGGTCATGTGATCAGTAGTCTGCACTGGCAGACTCTGGGTGCTTCCCGGGTCAAACCGCTCGCGAAGCGCCAGGCGAATGCTTTACCAAACCGCCACAGGAATGCATTAGGCAGTGATGTGGTGGAGGCTGACTCCATACACAGTTTCAAGTGTAGATATGATAGAGCCCAGTAGGCTCAGGAACCTGTACACCTGTTGATTGACGGTTGAGAGGCGGGACCAAGGAGCCAGAGCTCAACCCCCGAAAGCACAACTAAGTGAGTACGGTGACTGCTGTGGAATGTTGTTAGATAAAACACTCGGCTATTAACGAGCGGCTGCTGTTGCCTTGTATACATGTTTAGTCAGTATATGATTTGTTATAATAAATTATATTTTAATAGTTGAAAACAAAAACAGTGAACCTACTAGTGAGATTAAATTAAAAAAAAAAAGAGAAGCCTGAAACTACGCAGTATCACCTGGCGGCTGACGTTACCCTCACCCGTGTACTTGCTTCGGCAGTACATATACTAAAATTGGAACGATACAGAGAAGATTAGCATGGCCCCTGCGCAAGGATGACACGCAAAATCGTGAAGCGTTCCACATTTTTCACCGCAAACACCTAACTCTTCATCCTGCTGAGGCAAAACTACACAGGAACTTGTAATTCAACCCGTTCTCGCAAATTCGTAAAGTCAATATTGACTTATTAACTACGTGCATAGGTGATATACTAAACATAATAGATACCCTTAAAAAGATTCATAGAAAACACCGACCTTACCTAACCTTGTTAGTATCTTAAGATAAGCATCTTATTGCTTCGTAACTACAAATGTTACTTAACCTATACCTATTATAGGTTAGGTAATAATTGTAATTACGAAGCAATAAGATGCTTATCTTAACATACTAAGTAGGTTAGGTAAGGTCGGTGTTTTCTATGAATCTTTTTAAGGGTATCTATTATGTTAAGTATGTCACCTATGCACATATTTAATAAGTCAATATTGACTTATTAAATTTGCGAGAACGGGTTGTGTAATTACTTAGTTACACTACAGTTTATTGAACGGTTGCCGCCGGGCTGTGGCCCACAGCACAGGGTCCAGCCAACGCTGGTTCGAGTCACCTACACGGCTGACATACCAACATATTGGGGACAGAATGATTCTTAATACGACCTTACAAAGATTGTAGAATGGAATATTATAGAATACCTTTTGCCATGAACAAGGCTCTCCGGCCGATCCACTCACTAGCCAACCCGTACTCATACCAGGCTGGTTAAAGCAGCGGCCGTCCTCCCAAGACAACCCGTCCACACACTAGGCTGGTTAAAGCAGCGGCCGGCCTCCCCAGACAACCCGTCCACACACTAGGCTGGTTAAAGCAGCGGCCGGCCTCCCCAGACAACCCGTCCACACACTAGGCTGGTTAAAGCAGCGGCCGGCCTCCCCAGACAACCCGTCCACACACTAGGCTGGTTAAAGCAGCAGCCGTCCTCCCCCAGACAACCCGTCCACACACTAGGCTGGTTAAAGCAGCAGCCGTCCTCCCCAGACAACCCGTCCACACACTAGGCTGGTTAAAGCAGCGGCCGTCCTCCCCAGACAACCCGTCCTCACACTAGGTTGGTTAAAGCAGCGGCCGTCCTCCCAAGACAACCCATCCTCACACTAGGCTGGTTAAAGCAGCAGCCGTCCTCCCCAGACAACCCGTCCTCACACTAGGCTGGTTAAAACAGCGGCCGTCCTCCACAGACAACCCGTCCTCACACTAGGCTGGCTAAAGCAGCGGCCGTCCTCCCCAGACAACCCGTCCTCACACTAGGCTGGTTAAAACAGCGGCCGTCCTCCACAGACAACCCGTCCTCACACTAGGCTGGCTAAAGCAGCGGCCATCCTCCCCAGACAACCCGTCCTCACACTAGGCTGGTTAAAACAGCGGCCGTCCTCCACAGACAATCTGTCCTCACACTAGGCTGGCTAAAGCAGCGGCCGTCCTCCCCAGACAACCCGTCCTCACACTAGGCTGGTTAAAACAGCGGCCGTCCTCCCCAGACAACCCGTCCTCACACTAGGCTGGTTAAAACAGCGGCCGTCCTCCACAGACAACCCGTCCTCACACTAGGCTGGTTAAAGCAGCTGCCGGCATTCCCAGATGCATTCATCAATTTTAACACACTATTAAAAATTGGTTTGTTCTCATATATAAATTAATATTATTATTGCCAGAAACCCCGACACCATTTACTAATATTCAATACAATAGGCAGATAATATTGCTGCCGAGTTGTATATATATAAATTCACTCAGAGAAGACGTGACGTAGTGGAATTTTCCTCCCCTAGAAAACGAAGATATCATTGCCATGTCACTATTAAATTCCCCAGATATTCTGCTGGGAATTATTCTTAATACAGCAGTCTCGGGACTGTTAACATCATAAAAACATCTCACTTGAATTAACTGAATTATTAGTACCAAAATAGAGTAAATGAAGGCACTCTACTACTTCTTGACGCATCTGGAGAACAAGAGCGTCAGTGGGAGGGAGGGAGGCCAGTAGTCAGCCATTGTTATTGTTAGACCAGAGTCGTGGGGGCGAAACAGTTCCAGCTAATTCTCCCTTGGACCAAGTGTTCTGGAGAGTACATTAGTGCTTCTTCCATCATCTAAACAAGGGGAAGTGTGTTGACCAGACCACACACTAGAAATTGAAGGGACGACGACGTATGGGCCAATAGGCCTGCTGCAGTTCTCATTACTACTATCCCCTACACCTGACTTTCCTCCTCAGCTCTCTCTTGCCTATTTAATGCCTGTCCCTACCTGCCCTCATCACAATCGACTTGAGAATGGTCCAGGACGGACCGAAACGTCGTCGTCCCTTCAATTTCTAGTGTGTGGTCTGGTCAACATACTTCAGCCACGTTATTGTGACTCATCGCCTGCAAGGGGAAGTGTCTCTGAAATCTTATCTAGTCATTCCTGGCCAGTAATGTTAAGTAAATAGGATTATTTTTCCGGTTAGAACACGCGGCAGCGACATAATCCAGTAACACTTGAAGAGGAAGCAAGAATTAATCCTATTAATCCAGTACATTAGTTGGGGAGCCAGCCACACCCACAAGGTGTTTAGATTGGCTTGTTCACCGTGTTCTTACTGGATGTTTAGGACAAAATCAGCCATAAAAGATAAGGCCTTCTAATTGTATTTATTAATATATGTAGTTTAATATTCTAGTGAATGTTAGTCAATCAATTTTGATTGACTACATATATAAATTTATTATAATCCCCCCCCCCCCTTAATGTGTAGAGGAGTCGATTTATGAAAATATTGAAGAAATACAGTCCAATATACCTCATATAATTTGCTATCGAAAAAATAAATTAACATAAATATAAATTCTATATAAATTAAATAAATATATATCTCAAGTCGGTTCCCCACAATTATACATAAAAATTTATGTAAAGTTAGGCGTAGTTTAGGTTAGGTGTTTAGGTTCTGTTCGCATTTATTAGTATAATTATATTATACAATTATTCGTATAATTGTACGTGGGTGAAGCATTGATATAATTGTGGTTCGAACAGAGGGCGTGAACGAAGCACTTGTTCCGGAAGTGTTCGGACGTCATCAGTTGTGAGTCGTGTGTAAACCGCTTTTAATTCATAAACAGGGGGTTTGGCGGCTGGATTAACGAGCTTGGATCTTTGTATGTGAGGACGGGTTGACTACAAATACAAATAATCAGCAACAGAACCTAAACACCTAACCTAACCAATGCCTAAATATGCATAATATGCTAATATATAATAACATTAATTTATATGAGAAAATCCCTATTTTGAATGAAGAGAATATTAAAAACCGATGAATGCGTTTTTGGGGTAGACGACTGGATGGAATGGACTTCTTCTGAGGACGGGTTGACTAGCCAGACCAAGTGAACACAGCCTCAGAGAAGCAAATAACGCGCATGAAGCTAACATCTTGTAGTTTGTCTGAATTCGTATAAGTATTTACCTGCCTCGATAAACTCCATTAAAATATTATATTTAATATAACCCGTTATCATGAACTTTTTACTAACGCAATTTCTCATACAATAGTCATAATTTAATTATAAATAGCTTCATTTAAATAACTGCTACGTACTTATTACAATGAACCTGGTAAAATTATTCAGCAGAAAATATATATTAAACATTAATTATTGTTTTTTTATTAAACATCCGTATCTCTATTAAACATCTAGGCAATAGTGAATGGCTGCATTCGCCCTAGGCAGAG